TCTTTGAAAAAATTCGCATAGAATGAGAAAGCATGTACAAATCTACGTACGAAATTTCAAATTGATAACTTGAGTGGTGTTTACTTCATAAAGTTCCAAAGATACCATATTTCGAAACCTGTCCATACTTCTATTTGGTAAATCTCCTCTTCAATATTACAAAAAAATAATTTTCTTTAAACTAACAAATTTCCGCCAAACTGTTCATTATAGTTTCAAGTCTCTTACCCAGCACAAGCAAATTTTCTTCACCAATATCTATTACTGCGTATGATTGTACAAACATCCGGTGTACAACCCTTAGCAGCTAAAGTGTTAACGAACCCATGACATTCTTCACATTTAAACTTCCCTTTCCCCATTCCAATTTATCGATAAAAAATTCTGTCAATCCATTCAGGCTTACACTCTGCACCAGAAAAAAAAAGAAAAAAAAAATAGCCACTGAAATCACTGAAAAAGCAGTGTCCAAGCTGCAGAACCGTAACGTTCTATTTTGTTCTAGGAACAAATTGCTCGAGGAGCGATTTAGGTCAGCTAGCTTTGTTTCACGTGTGAGCCTAACGTAGCTGGGGAATATGTGGTTGCTATCAATATATACGTTTCAGTCAGGATACGTTTACACCGTTGATATTCGATATTTCGATGAAAGCCAAAAAGAAAGAGGACAAGAGCAAGACAACCGAATTTCAGCAGCGAGAAAGAGTCTGTAAAAGCGGCATATCGAGGGAAGAACTTTCGAAGGCCATCAGCATCAATCTCGAGGTAGCTATTCGGCTCGAATTCGCGCCGATGAGTAATCCTAAACCACCAAACAAACTTCTGACCCGTGTCGGATGCCAGCCACTCCCTTTCTTGCTCGTGTGTTTTAGCCACGATGGCGTCGTACAAAAGCTGGCTGCAGAGATTGCTTGGTTCAAACTATGTACTGACAACCCAGCTCCCATTTTTAGCACTAGATACCTAATGTTGTTACATTCGCCAATTTGAAGGGTATACCTGAAAAATCCTTCTTTTTTCTTACTATTTTCAACGCACTCAATATTTAAATATTTAATTAACTGTCATTTCTTCGCAAATGTTCCTAAGTTTTTTCGTAAAAGAATTTGTACGATGCCCGACTCGTGAACGAGACTGGGTTCAGCTCGAACTCGGTTAGTATCGTTGCGCTCCCGGTGCGTTAATCCCGGAAGGGCGAAATTCTAGTAGTTGGTGTGGTGATGGTGAATAAGAGGTTTCCCCCCGTAAGAATATTTTTGAACTCTGTTTATTTGTGGTGGTGCGTGGGTATATATATTAGGTCGGTGTATGTTGCGATTGGTTGGACGTTGAAAAATGCGAAGGTGTGATTGGATATTAGGAAACTAGCGGAAGGAGAACGTGAGGGCGAAGGTGGTGTGCAAAAGTTGAAATAATTTGGGGAAAACCCGGAGAGGGGAAAGGGATAGGAAACATGACCAGGATGCGACTTGAACTGCTTTATGGTAGGGAAGGAATTTATTAGGGGCTAGGAAGACGGCTGGAAAGGACTGTTTATTAATTTATGACGTGTTACTGGCTGGTGGGCTGCGCGACCGGACAGAATTATTCGGCAATTTTGAGAGATACCGATGATGATTTGGATTCACCTTTGCCCAAATATGAAAAATTCTCGCCTGACGTGTACATTATACATTTTGTTTAAATAAATTGCGACGAATTGTGAAATTATTAAATCCATCATCTTGATGGGTTTTGGTGTACTTTGGTAAATTAGAGTGGTGGATGGAAAAGGATTTTTTCGTCTCGACAAAAGTCAACATACGTTCCAACAAAAGTAACATAATAATTTCTATAATTTAAAATAAATCTGAAATGTATCGTTTTGACAAGTTTGGTTCTTTTAATGTCAAATTTCACGCAGAAATGTAATCTTCTTCGCGTTATCATTTTCATCAGATTTCGATGTAACATCCCGATATTCTCGAGATGTATTTACATATGGAATACTTCGGAAAATGCAGAAGTAGAAAATTAATTTTTTGGCAACTTTCCAAGATGAAAGACTCGAAGAGTGAAATAAACGAATTGGTGTGAATTTCTTTCGGAATTTTCACTGATGATTTTTCAAGAATCACGACGATCGGAGAAACGAACAGGCACGCATGTCGGTCGATTACAGTTGTAATTTGGCGGAGGCGCTTATTGAGCCGTGTAAAATTTGATGCACCTGTTGATATTAACGCAACGCGGGGATTAAAGCGATCCGTTGCTCGTCAAAGGGCGAACGCCTCGCTACGAACGACCGTGTGAAATGTCAAACACGAAACGAATATCTTCGAAACGTTCGGCAGGCGTTGGCTGATTTAACGTTGACTGGGCTACTTGCGCGAATCGACCGCTGAATTTTCCATTCGAATCTCCTCCCTTTTGCAACAGATTGGAATATTTGTGCTGTAAACCCGACACATTCGATTTACATTGTTAATTGGTACCGCGTAAATCGCGGAATTCTCATGGAAATTCAAGAACGCGTCAATTGGAAAAATTGTTTCTGTGAATTAACCAAGTCATACACGCTGGACGCAGAAAATAATTAACTCAATCTGTATCCACTGCCCGTATTAATCCTTTCATTCACAGATAATTTAACAGCTGTGAAAGACGTCTTCATGGTTCGTTTAACTATATCGACAGACGAAATTTTTCGTGCAATTTGTATGCAATTCTAGAGTTAATCAACTTTTCTGTATTTAACTCTTTCTTAACTGAATTACTATTTTGAAGAATTTATTTATAGAATTTAATTTATTAAGTGATCATCGTGTATACAGGGTGGTGTCTCAGCTGATTTTGACATCTTGATTTTCTCGTTATTATTACTCGTAGCGGAAAATGTTTCAGATGAAATTTAAACAGCGTCGAAGGGGGCATATTCTGGTGTTCTTAATTCTTTCACGAGTGGAAAAGCTTCACTTTCATCCGAAACATATTTCGCTTTGAGTAATAATAGCGAGAAAATCAAGGTGTCAAAATCAGCTGAGACACCCAGTATAATGCGTACTAAATTGAGATTCATTCTTGTTCGAGTACTCAAGTAGGGCAAATGCGTCCAACCGATCACGAAAGGGTTGAATGCAATGCAATAGATTGCAGGGAAAACGGAAAGGATAATGGAGAAATATTCTCACTTTCTTCTCTATTTTTCTTCATTCTAAAATTTACATTATAGAAAAAAAAAATTATACGTAACAAAATTCCAGGTAAAATATATATAATACGGTCACGAAAGGGTTGAATGCAACGCAACTTATCGCAGTGAAAACGAAGGGGTTGATGGAGAAATATTCCCACTTTTTCCTAATTTCAATATTCGTATTACAGAAAGAGCGATAAAAGAATCTAAGAAGATTGCACGAAACAAAATTTCAGATTACAATACATGTAAATAAACGAAACGGAACGTTGGCGATTGGACGACGTCGACGAACCGACGGTGATTCGTTCGTCGATCGAAGGATATCGTCGACGTTGAACATTTCACTGTCGGATAAAACGCGCCACGGTGGACAATTGCTATTTACTTTTGCGAGAATACCTTTTTGCTTGGCGGGGTAACATCAACGAAACGGGTCACCAGATGGAATTCGATTAGCGCCGCTAATTGGGCGCGCAGTGTCGTCTAATTAACTAGGAAATTAATACCGTGTCGATGCACCGTTCCTTCTTTGATAACGGCTTCAAGAATATTTGCCATACAAATTGTGCGTGTAACGTCGCGAATTTCCGCAACGTGACAATCAGATGTCGAACGATGATTCTCAAATATCAGGCGATACCGGTTGAAAAAACATTCCAGGATAAACAGGGCACACTTCTCCGTTGCGAGCGTAAAGAAGCGGAATCTTTTTCACTCCTCCGTTGAGAAAACACAGAAACGGCCACGCAAGGACGCACAAATGATCGCGAGACCTTTTTTATTTTCACCTTGAGTCAGCGGAAAAGTGTCTACGACGTAGAAACGTTTACTGGAATCCAAACCGGGGGTGGATAAGGGGTGGTTAGGTGGCGTTGGTTCAAGCGGAACGAGGGTCCCGGTGACAGACAGAAACACTCACACGTGTCACGCAGAAACAGACCGTCTGGCGTGATGGATCGTTAAATTGTTATTGAACGTACACATATGTTTTCTTTTTTTTTTTTTACCTACGTCCGTTTATCGTGGGCAATATTGTCGATAGAAATTGCTAATCGACTATGAATGTCACGTTCCCTTCTTTCTTTATTGCCGATGCCACTCTGTCGGAGGTGAACAGAGAGGACAGGTTAAGGGATCAATGCTTGCTGAACGTCTGACGAAGATAAATTCACGAGATTGGCTTGTGGTTTTAATGTGGGTGGAAAATTCGCTCGAGTTACTTAAGTTATTACTGCGAGTCGAGTGTCAGAAAGGAATGATTAATACGTAAATTAATTCACTTTGAAATTTCCGTTCGTAATGTTGAAAAGTGCAATCGCTGGGAACATCGTACTTTCGTATCGCGATAAATTTTCAAAAAAATTGCATTTATAAACTTAGAAAAGAAAGTTTTTCAATTTTTCAACAGTGAAGCGACTTACGGACCACCCGGTACATCGACACGAAAATACAAACTACCCCTCCAAACAGTGTCTTTGACCACAAACATTTCACAAGCACAACAACAGAAGGGTTGAAATGAAGTCGAATTGCTGAGAAAGCCAGGTCGAAAGTTCGGTGAAAATTAAAGGGCAAATATCCGATCGATCGAGAATTCGAAAGAGAGGATCCGATCGAGTCCATCGAGTAAAGCATCGGCTCTATTGATCGCCAATGTTAACGCACACCATCGCACAGGGTGGCGCAGAAACACGCGAGAGGGGTGTGTTTCCTTTGCTGGACAAAGCACGCAGTTCCACTCGAGGCACACTTGCAAACTCCTCGGAAAATAATAGGAGATATTCGTCGATAGATAATGCGTCAGGGATATGAGTTTACTTACGAAGTTTGGCTGCCGTCAACGTCGACCACGAAATTCCTCGTGTTTCCTTGAAATCCGGCTGGTCAGCTTCAGTGGAGACTTGCACGGGGTGTCGGTGTTAAACGGCCATGTTGCTGGAAATCCACCGCCCTCTGGCTGCTGTTCGACGAAATGTGGATCCCTTCCACTTCGTCCCTCTTTTGCTTTCCGTTCTAGCGCGCTTAAGAACGCGACCGAGTTTCCCCCATTTTTTGCTCAAGATGATGCTTTGTAATTCGAATGATTTGCGTCGGTAATTTCAAGCGTATCAAAGGATCGTACGAATTCAATATTTTCAACAAATCTGACTTGTGTTCAAGGGAGTATGTACTCTGATGATCCTAAAAATGGAAGAAAAGTTTGGAAATTTTTTTCACAGGTGACTACTGAATGAAAAGTTTCAATTTTTCCAGAGGATGTAAGCGTAAGTTTCAGCTTTTTTCTACAATTTTTAGAAAGTGAAAATGTTACAAAATGGAGGAGCTATTGTGAAACTTCTTCTGCTAGAATATCAATTGCTGGCCGCCACCCCGTCGGCAAAGACTGGAATGCCTGAAACACAACATTTTTTTTATTTACAGCGGGTGAATAAATTATTAGAGCCGCAATTGTGTTTGTGTAGAAATAAAATTACAATATCAACGTTTTCGCAACAGATCATTTTTAATTAACGATTCTTCACTGAAGATACACAAAACAGTTGAACTTAACTTAGGTAGTTATGATAAATACTGTATTTGCGTCGCAGCGTCGACGGTTTGTTGGCGACGATTAAACGACGCGGAGGAAAACTTCACTCGATGAAGTCCCAGTCGAAGGTGTGGAAAGTGGACTGTATTTGATTATTGAGTGATACGAAATATATTTTGTGTGAATGCACCAAGGGTACAGTTGTGTCTATGGTTACGATGTGAATCCGTGTATGGTAAGCTACGAAGTGTCCGCGTCGTCCCCTACGAAGTCCTACTTAAAAACTTAAGTAACCCCCTTTTCCTGCCCTTCTCAGAGCGGGGGTGAGGGCACTAAGTATGGGAGGGGATTTCTCGAAGGTTCGATGGGTCGCGGAAAATTCCTCCAGGTTGACTCTTAACTACAAGGACCGTTATACACATGTGTTAGCCGACCTTTCGGAAATACCGAGTTTATGACCTGGTCGGTTATTAAGATGAGCGAAACGAAATTCTAAAGCTATTGTGTAAAAACTCGAAATGATTAAAAATACCTTTACTATCGCGAAGGCACAAATTGCCGGTTATAGAAAAAATAAGACTCTGAAACTATTAACGAAAAATAAACACGAAAATAAACTGTCTGTCACGTCCATGTCATAAACTAACCTTCGAGAATCTTTAATTACGGTATTCCGTATCGGACGGAACAAATACAGTTAAGAAGTAAGAATAAAGTCGGTATTTGGTAGCGCTACCTTTTACTGCAATTACAGCCTCGATTCTTTTCTCCACACATTTTAAGTAATTTCCTATGCATTATAAGTAGTAAAAACACTGCAACGAAACTATATCACGTGGTTCTCAAGTGGTTGCCAAGTGTATATTTGCAATTTGTAAACATCAACGCTTCGTAAAAAAAGTAATAAGAGTTCGGTATAACTAGGTTTGCATCTGGAAATTAATTATAACGTAAAACTGTCAATTTCTTACAGGTGGTTCTAATAATTCGATCACCCCACTGTATAAATAAAAATGCATTACCTACAATGTAGAGTACGATGTTTTCGGTATGTCAATTGTTTAATTTTTTGAAACCGTTTGAAGTTAACTTTTGTTTGGCAAAAGTGGTTTTTCCGATTTAAACTCCCACCATTTCGATGATAATCGAAAAACCGTAAGCTGCATTGTAGATGATACATTTTTATTTATAAATCAACAAGAATTTCTCATTTCTGATGTTCCAATCTTTACCGACGATGGCGGCCGCCAATCGATGTCTTAACAGAAGACGTCTCGCAATTAGCGAATAATTCCTTCATTTTGTAAAATTTTTACTTAACAAAAATTGCAGAAAGAAGCTGAAAGTTGCATTTATATTTTCTGGAAAAATTAACACTTTTCATTTAGTAGTTCCCTATAAAAGAATTCCCAAACTTTTATTTTTACATGCATCAGAGTGACGTATTCCCTTAATTTCTTGACTTGTAATCCTTTTACTGGTTATGCAAGCAAGCGTCAGATTTGATAAGAAAAGTTACTGTAATTTCATGGAAACGGAAGTTGTATATGAATTATGTTAGAATTTGTCAAGTGTGATCGAAGGATGTCTGAGTTAGAGCGATAGAAGTGTGAACGAAGTATTTCGAGTAGAATATCAGAGATGTGAAAGAAGAGTGTTTCGGGTGAGAACAAATTGCTACCTCAGGATTCACGTAGACGTGACTAAATGTTTTTTAAGAATGCCTGAAACGAGTGAGAAGTGTAGAGTAATAGAGCGAGAGGGAATGCGAGGGTGCAAGTATATACGCGAACGTGAGAATAACATTGTGGGTAACCAGCGAGTACATTTATTAATTGGGTTAATAAATTTTGTTATTAAAATTACATTGTATCTCTGAACCACTCACGGCGGGATTTGCCTTCAAATGATTCTTACGGTATTGTGTTGCACATTATCTACACTTGGTAATTGTCAGTCTTAGAAATTAAAATGAACTTTATTACTAACATAACTAATTTTGTCGCATCTTGGCCAGAGTGCGTGTCACGAGACTGACTCGTTGCAGGGCAAAGGGTTAAATGCGTTAAAAGTCGAAAGGGTTAAACGCGTTAAGGGTTATAAACTGCATCGTGTTGAACTTTTTTGGTGAATTTGGGAATACGCAGGAAAAGGTTGCCAGATGTTTCTCCTTCTTGAATTTTTCGTATGGAAAGTTCGATCAGACGGGTAGAATAAAAGTTTCTTTTGCTTGCCATTTTGGCCATACTCGTCGACAATGGACGACGGTGTCCCTAGCGACTTATGCCTGAAAGTTTCTGTCTGGCTTTGCCGGCTCGAAGAAAGAGGCGCCGAAACACCGGCTCAGAGTTTTCAATAAAGCAATTGGCTTTGAAAAATGGACAAAGGCGAGGAACGATTCGTGTCGAATTTCTTTTCTCGACCAACGATTTGATGTATCGTTTCATCTTGTTGTTTCTGCGTCGCTCGTCGTGCTTTGTTACTTGTACGCAGCGATCGGGCAATTGAATGTCACTATTGTCCAATAAGAACGTTATTTCTTTGTATTCTTTTTGCATTTTGACATTTCGATATGACGCAGTTGCAGAATTGAACGGAACTATCAAAGAAAAGTACGGCAATAAAACCGAAATGAAAGCATAATTACAGCGGAAACAAGAAATTCTTCTTTATTACCTTTCCTATTCATTTTTTTAGGATGATTCTCCGTACGACTGACTTAATATTGACTCGTATCACTTGCAGGGGATAAAAATTATTCAAATCAGACTCTGTCGAATAAAACTCTCACTCCTTCGTTAATTAATCGTCCCTCTTCTTAAACAACGCCGAAATTACCCAACATTACTCTGTACATGTCTGACATAATATTAACTCGTACTACTTGCGAAAGATTAAAACCACTTTTATCAGATTTTTCCAACGAAAACCGCCGTTCCTTTTCTTTTCAATTTTATCGAAGAAGAGTGTATACTTTAATATTGGGAAAAGTCGTGTACAATTATTGGTATTGCAGATTATACGAGGGAATTATAGCGCTAAAGTGTTTCAGTGGTTTTGCGGAAAAAATTCGCGTGGATTTGCATCGGCCGTTTGACTCACTCGACCCCGGTGGAACTTTCGGAATATTCAGCGAACGTTTGAATTATGCGTTTTCAAAGGAAGCCTCGCCTCGTCTACCTTCTTATCTTTCCCTTTTTTCGCTTCTCTCCCTCTATGCTTTCTCCTCTCTCATTCAGAATCTCCTTTGGCCGCGAATGAGGAAAAAAAAATCTCAAGACGAAGCGCGGTACGCGCGTGAATCGGCGAATGCGCATCCTTTTTAATTAAAAAGAAAATAAAAAAAGCTCCGCGCGTTTTAATTAAACAAAATCTCCGCGATGCTTATTCAGAGAGTAATAACTGGACACGGGCCTCCAAGTCTTTCAGCGCTCGTAAATGGCCCCGAGTCAGCCGCAACTTTTGCATAAACACATCTGTTCCGAGCGGAAGAATCTTAAATTCGATCAGCCGAAAATTGCTATCCTCTCGTCGAAGGTAAATCCGGCAAAATTGTGGAAAAAAGGTAAACGAAAATATCTGTGAAAAAGAAGAAAGATTTCGTTTAATATTATCGTCGTGTTTTGTCTGCTCGAATCGATTCGACGTCTTGCTTAGAAGTCGCTGAAGTTGCACAACAAACACACTTGTCTTAACCCCCCGAACAAAATGCAACATCCTTTTCCGACTTTCTTCGTCCATCGGCCAGTTTAACACCACACTATTTCTCAGCTTTCCGCGAAGCAAAGTGATTTACGTTAATAATCCTCGTTTTCTGTTCACTTCGCCACAGCAGAAGGAAATATCGAATTACTTGTAAAGCATGTATAAAATTAAAAGAATTTTCCTCTATTATTAATATAATGTATATACAATGTTTTAATTAAAATTTCTTTACTCACGGCGAAGTAATTACTTTATTATCATCATTCGCGGACACTTGAAACTAGCAGCTTTCATGATTAACTAACAATATTGAATTACTGTGCACGAGTGTGTACGAAATCAAAGAACTGTTGCTCCGCTGTCTTACGCGACGCGTATAAAGTATTTTCAATTAAAATTCAGTTTATCATTGAATTATCGTCTTTCACAGATTCTTCGATGTGTCAAAGACAAAAACAAACGCAACGGAAGCATTCAATCTGAACGTGACGAACTATAAACAAGTAGAATTACCCTAATCCCCGCGTTATACGCTGCAAAAATCTCGCTGCCAGGCTCCCAAGGTGGAAATAAACACCGTATATACTCCGAATCCTCTGACGGTCTCTCTCGACTTTCATCGCCTACGACGAGCACCTGCAGTGAAAGCCTTTTTCTCACCGACGCGCACATACACTCACGCCCCAGTG